AATCATTAAAGAACCTGTTAGTTTCCCTTTTCAGAATTCCTTATTTTCCTGTATCATAGTAGAGTCCATTAAACTCAATAGACAAGACCTCTGAAACTGCTGGGTTATCAAACATTTAACTAGCTTTCAACACATCACTTGTTGAACACAAGCTTTTGAACTGTCTAAGAACCCTGGGAAAAAAACAGGCAAAACCAGAAAGCCTGTTTTCAGTAACTCTAGCTACATGGATTATGCATCTTTGCAAGTTCTAAGAGTTGACAGTTCAAAAAAGTGTAGTGAAAAACAACCAAAAACACAAACACACCACAGAATCCCAAACATTCATCTGCTGCTGCATTTTTCAGTGTGCACTACATTGACTTCACAAGCATGAACTTCAGGAGAATGTTCTTTATGCTTATAATTCACTGAGCAGCAAACCATTTATCTCTGAGAAAAGCATGAACATTTGAGATATCATATCTAATATTGTAAAACCAAAACGTCTTACTCATCACTGAGGAATTCAAAGGCTTTAGATTTGTCACTAGGTAACTGAGATAAGGTGCTGCTTCTTTTCTTGACTGATGGAGTAATATGTGAGGTTGGAGCATTATATTTAACATTGACAGGAGGTTCTGGTTTCTTAGCTGTGTTACTAGATGAACTGAAGAGCCTGCTAAAACTAAAGTGAGAGAAAAAAAAAAGATGACAGTTCAGGTTTGTAAGATACATTCAGGCTTGACTATGTGGACAAAACACTGCATACACTAGCCTGCTCAAGAGAGTTAGAGTGAGAAAACTGGAACCCAACACAGCAGTCATCACACACTCAGCATTACGTTCAAAGCATAGAAATACATGTCAATAACATTCTTAAATAAAGTAGTAGTATCTCATTCACCTATAAAATTAACTGAATAAATTTAACTGAATAAAGATGTATAAAGAACAGTAGAATTAGGATGCAAGTATTATATCCAGAAAACAAGTATTAGGAAGTATATTACTTCATGCACTACCATAAGATCCCACTCTATACTAAAAGATAGAATAGCTATCAGCAAGCCACCACATCATAAAATTATTTTATGAGGATCTTGCTGTTTAATCCTCCTTTTTTTGATTTAGAATTTCCATGTAGAAAGGATAATTTGACAATCAATAAGTTGTATGTCATAGATGGAAAGGAATCTGAATTAAATGCAATCCACACAAGCTATTCAAATTTCTTGTTTTCAATGCCATTAAAATGCTCAGAACAAGAATCCAGGTGCGCATTCAGCTAAAAAAATTACAGCACTTTGGTATTTAACTTCAAAGTGCACAATCATTCACTATATGATGCAGCTTACGATATATTTTTGTCTTCAAGAGCAGCCTTACCGAGTTGGCATGCTAGGTAACAAAAGGAAAACAGATAAGATACCTTCATTTGCCAAAATATAATTAGATAACATACAAAAATGTGCCAGCTAATTGGTTAGGGCCTTTTGGTTTATTTTTGCCAGTGAATTGTGTTTCAACACTTACAACTGCCAAATGCTTGATCTTTTCTTTTCTTGCATGGCTGGGTTTTCCCTTGATGCTCTACAAGAAAGGAATTCTAAGTTTACTCAGTAAGCATTAAGTCTAAATGTAAAGAACAGAACAGTTCTAGCATTCAAATAGCCCTATCATTTAAAGTAAAACAAGGTAGTAGATATCAGCAGTACCAATGCCTATTTCTTCACATTACTGCTTCGTTTATAATTACAGAATGAACTTAACATTGAAATTCTAGCTAGAGGAATTAAAGTTCCACAATAAACATCCTCCGCTCTTAGTTGTGTCAGAACCCACAATTGGCAAGTGCTTTTCAGACAGACAAGACAAAGCTGTGGAAAACCAGTTTTTTCACTGTAAACAACAAAACATTTAATTTTAAATCCTTCTGCCTGCCCTTTTTTTTTGTGGGAGGGGGACTGTGGCAGGGGGAAGGGAGCTTTTATTTTTAAACCGCTCATTCCCCAAGGCTCTAGTAAACACATGACAGAATGTTTATTCCTGAAGCCATACGTACATATATCTCATATCTCCTTGGGAATAAATGTTTTTCCTCAGACAGATTTAGAGTCAAAATGGCTCTCACTCATTAAGAACAATAGAAAAAAAAAAAAAAAAAACAAGTGTAAATGTGACACCTGACCTGCAGGCGGCAGCAAGTGACACTGCTCTGCAGCAGAGGTGGGCTCAGTCCTGGCAAGGGTGCCACAAAAACGAGCTGGACTGAGGTCAGAGGCAGAAGACCAGATTTTTTGGAATCCTTTTCAGGTCAGTTCAGCATTCAGGGTGCAAGTTAGACCAAGTCATATCTTTACTGCTTCTGTTTAGCCAACTTTGCAATTTTGTATTTATTTTCACCCCCCCACACACACCCTGAATTATCCAAATGCTGATACACTGATTACATCAATTCTAAAAACTGATTGCATGTTATTTCTATTTGACTTTGCAGTTGACAGTTGGGTCCATTGCTTTACCATATATGTACACATACAACAAATCTTTTCTTGCCCCCAAATGACTGTTTTTATGTTTACGTTTTGTAACTGTTCCAAAATACAAGCACCCCATTAAGGGATGCTTATTACACATCCCATGAAAAAAACAGCAAGTCCAATCAAGAACTCACTTTGACAAAATAAATCATATGCAGGTAACAAAATCAGACTTATTCATGGGCAGTTATGGCAGCATGCAGAAGGGCAAGTAAGGCCTCATAACCTATAGATCAGGTCACTGCACAGCTAAAAAAAATTCCAAAGCCTGTTCAATCCAAGAAGGGCTATCATTTTACCTTATCATCTCAGTCCATCGCACAGCTTCCTGAAGCTCCATCAACCTCTCTTTATACTGATTTCTTTCCATTAGAACACGGGCCATTTCAACACGAGTAAAACGCTTCCGCTGAGCAGTAGGGACATCACTCTGAACACACAAAAAAACCCAAAGATAGAAGGAACAAAGGAGCACAGCAGGGCCTTGCAGAGGCAGCCTCTGCCTTCCGGTAAGAGTCAGTTTAGGGCACAGTTCCAGATGCTGAACCATGTGCGGCTTTGTAAAACTAACTCAGTTCTACCCAGTGCCTTCTACCTTTCCCCCCTAACACTTTGTATGCATGCATGCTTTGTATGAATTTAAAAAACCCTTTCTTCAAAACACATGACAACAATGCGTACAGAGAGAAGATTGAAAACTAGAAGCAGTTTGTATTCATTTACTTATGATCTTTAGGTCTTCTGTCTTTACTACACATAGAGAAAATTTACCATTGCTAACAGCACTAAATGCACGTGGGACTTCTAATGTTCTACTGTAAACTGTATATACAAAAATATACGTGCACAAATACTTACATCATCATCCTCTTTAGCTTTCTGTCTGGCTTCCTCTGCTTCTGCACGAGCTCTAGAAAAACAGATACATAGCAAATGGCTATATTAAATACCAAAAGATTTATTTTTCTTTATTTGTAAGCCATCATATTAAACTTACTTTCTAAGCTCTTCTTCCAGTTCCTTGTTCTTCTCTTCAAGCTTTTGTTTTGCTTGTTTTACGGCCTCTAATTCACCTTGCAGCACATCCTTCTCACAGGTCAATTCATCCACTTTTGCTATTAAATCATTCTTCACTACATTCAGTGCATTTCTATGCAAACATTTAAAAAACATCATTACAAGGGTGACTACGGTCTCATAATATTTAATTTCATTCTTCAACTTCAAGACCTACAAATGAATTTCTTAGAGTTGCTATGAAAATCTACAGTTTTCCAAAACTGGCCAAATCCCTCCCTCACATCAAACACTTGGGAGATACACCAGTACTACTGCATTATAAAAACATACTGATGAGTCAGGATAGTTTAATCAAGAAGTTGAAATCCTCAAAGCACTTCAGTGGATGACCTTACTGCAGTTACAACTAACAGAAGAGGCAGGGTTGGCCTCATACTGTGACATTGTGCTGCATTCCTTACAGCCTTTCAAGAACAAAGGCAGCTTTTGCCTACTAAACCCTCAACATTTCTAAAAGGGAGAATGCCAATTAGGCTATATATTTAGCCAAATATACAAACCCTCCAGACTTATCCCACTAATACTCTTAAAACTGAAGGTATACTTGTACCACCTAAGTATTGACTTGCTATTAACATCGATAGAAGATTTGCTTGCAAAGAAGAAAGGAAGATAGATAAGCAACTAGTTCACACAGCTCTGTCCTGTATCATTGATCCTGAACTCCTGATCAAAGATACAGCACTATTTTGAACTGTGGCCTTTGCTCCTCTTTCCACACGTATTATGAATCTGCCTCTGTTGTACACTAAAGAGGAAAGACATGGGCAGAGATGAGTATCCAAACAAGTATACAGAGAAGTTGAAGGCTGAACTTTGAGAACACCTGCATATTATTTAATAATTAAAACATGCACTTAAAAGGGCATTCACTTGGCAAGTATGAACAAAACAGCAGAAATCCATCCCCTGCCCCCCTCCTTTTTTTTTTTTTATATATACATTCGCACTTACTTTGTCTCCAACAGCTGAGTGTTTTCCAAAATAAGGTTTTCAACTTCACGACCCATTCCTTTCCAAAGGGAAATAAAACAATTTAGCAAACGAAATGGATATTTTTACAACCTATGTTTTGCCCTTATTTAAAAGGCATTTGCATTACACATAGCATTTTTTTTTAAGAAAACAAACAAAAAAAACCTGTAAGCTTTCTGAAAATTGAGGACCTACCTTCTACAACTAGCTTTCCCCCTCCACTTTTAAATAAAGCCTGAAGGCAACCCTGGCTAACCACAGATGAGCGGTTAATGCTACTTCAAATATTCTATGCAGTAGAATACTGCAGTACTACAGTGCTACTAATTCAAAATACAAAAAAACCAGCATCAGTGGGGAAACATTTGTGCAAAAAATTAAGCTTTTAATGCCTAACTGTCTTAGATATCACATGCTACACTCAGAAGTCAGAGACATTAGACTTGCTCTAACAGAAAGCTCAGAAGGCAAAAGCCCTGCAGACCTACCCAGAGCAAATGATACCTTACCAAAGAAATTATGGTCTTTAAAGCCCATGTATTCCATGTAGAGCAAAAACAAGAACAAGAAACAGTTTGTGTAAGGTGTAGTATGACTGAAGAACAATGAAATATTTAATCTTATGAAATAAGTGTGAATTCAAAGCAAAACTACAACCAAAAACATGAAGCGAGATGTGATATGACTAGAAACAGAATTCATAGGTAAGATAGACACTTAAAAAAACCCACCATAATGACATTGTTCATTGGTTATGCTACCTATAAAAATAATTTATTAAAAGGCTATCACGATTTTTGTAAAATAATTTGGAAGAACAGTACTTAGCATTTCTAAGTCGTTTGGTAAAAGTTCAAAATACCCATGCTAATGAAAAGGTGAATTTAATTTTACCTTTTACATAATTTAATATTACCTAAATTTCTGAAAATTAATTTCTTAATCTGTTGTTTGCATGCCTAATATAATACCAATTGCAGAATTAATGAAAATATAAAAAAAACTTTTCAAACAAAACATTCTACATCTTGTACCTTTCTTTTGAAATTAAACCTACTCTCACTACCATTCTGATACGTGCACAACATATACTAATTTGAGATTAGCAGAACTGAAGAGAACTAAAATTGCAGAAGCTTTGCGATATTCTGAGCACAATCTTTCAAACAATTTTGATAACCACAAATCTAAGTGATGATATTTTTTTTTAAAGAGGTACTTAAATAGATAATGCTAGTTTCACCACTTGAAATTTCTCTCTGAATTTGGGATTAAAAATAAATGGCACTAAATTACTGAAGTAACTTAGACCAGCTATTGCTACTTTATCTGCAGAAACCAAAGTGCCCTATGACACTCATCAAGAAGTTTTTATTCAAGTAAATATTGCTTTTTATGTGTTTTTAATATTCATAGATTAAAAAGTACCTAGACCGACTTTCAACTGGTGTCAGGTTCCTTCACAAAGTGAGGAAAAAAAAATAAAAAACCCCAAAAAGCCATGAGTAGAAGGGCAAAAATAATGTTACCAAGCAAGGAAAATAATGCAGAGAATGTATTATATGAGAGCAGCAGCCAAGAACGCCTAACTGTAGAAGCAATAGATTTTGAAGTTTTATTTTATTTTATTTTATTTTATTTTTAAGAAGGAAAGCATACACACCAGAATATTCCCCTGGGTATGCAGCCCAAGAGAAAGCAAATTAGAGAATTTCAATTATTATTATTATTATTTTTTTTAAACAGAAAGCAAAACTAACATTCATTTAGAAGGAAGCCAAATGCTAAAAAATCCCCACCAGATATCCGGGATGCAGATGCAGCTTTCAGGAAAGACAGATTAGTTCCTACTATGGTTGTATTGTAAGGAAATGGTGATTATACAGTAAAACTATTAGATCAACACACTTGGTTAGGAGTGGTCTTGCTTTATAGCAACGGTTTTTTTGGGGGGGAAAAATAGCCTGGTAAGTCAGTACCAGACTTTTACACATTATACTAGAGAGTGCTAATTCTGCCCATGGAAAACAAAGCACCTTCTACCAGGAAGTCTGGACAGAAATTTCATTTCCTTAACCAATTTAACCTGTTAAATAAGGGTCAGTTCTCCAACTTTTCATGTAAATCTAATAAGCACTCAGAATGACACTGAAAGATTTTAACGCAAGTGAAACCAAATAGCAAATCCAGTAATGATACGTTAAAGGGATCGCTGTGAGCTAGGAAAAGCACGGAACATGCAGTGTCTTTAAATGAGCATCTTACCCAGTAAATCTGCACCTTCATCCACATCTCCAATTAGGCCGGAACCAGCAGATGACAGTTCTTCAAAAAGGGACTCTGTATTACGGTCAAATGCCTTGTTCTCTATACCTTTGGTAGGAGTGCTATTGAAAGAATTAAACAAATCACAAAGAGCAGGAAGAAGCTATTCCCACACTGAAGAAAGTGTTGTGTATGTTTGCACCTCAGTTCATTTGTTACTGCATTAAAAACAAAACTTGCAGAAGCTGCCAGTTGGCTTGGAATCCTAAATCCTGTTTTCCAATACTATTTTAGCAGCAAGATGCCAAACTTGGAGTAGGTTTTGAATTTTGAGTTCCCTGGATTTTATCATATGAGAGAATATCAGGTTTAGCATCTAGATGTTCCATCAGAGCTTAGCTTAAGTGTCTAAAGGAGAGGCAGTTCAGTCAAGTAGGGAGTCATTTAACTTTAGAAGAACACAAAAGAATTAAGCAGCCAGAGATTAGAATATTCCTCTGTCCTTTGAGCCATTAACATTCACTATACAAGGCAATTCTCACAAGGAAACACCAAGCAAGCATTTCGAGACCTAACAGACCCTAAACTGATCAGGGCTTATCTAGAAGGTCACGCACTCCCCTGCTTCTGAAATATGCTAGTTTTTGATGGGGCTTTTGGGCTATTAAAAGCATCTTATCCTTCACATACAAAAAACATCAGATCTAGGCAAAAGTATTCCACCAGCACGGGTATCTGATAAATAAATGCTGTGGTAGTTGCCAAATAAATCATAAATACAGACTGTAAAGATAGGGATGAAGATGCAAGAACATGACTGAAAAAAGTTTTTTTTTTTTTTTTTTTTTTTTAAACCTAGATTTGTGAAAAGTTTTTTTTGTTTTGTTTTTGATATACACCCTTTCTGGGAACAAAGAGGAAAAAAAATCAGCATTCTTAAGACCACTGTAACACGAAGTACCCTGAACATTCACTAGAAGAGTAGCAACAGCAACAAGAACTCCTGACGTACATAAAAAACCTCCCGAGGTATTTGAGAAAAGAAAGAAGGTCACAGAAGTAGGGGATTCATTACATAATACATGATCTCAGTCTGCTGAAAACTCAAAACATGCTGCGAGTCCAAAGCTGAACTCTGGTACCTACTCCAAGGACAGCAAAAGACTTACCTGGAACCTTTGTATCCACTGAGATCTTTATCCATATCCAACTCTGGTGTTGACTCAATAATTGCTTGAACTTCGGATTTTTCTTCATTTTCATTTCCACCTTAAGACAAGCAAGTGGTAAATCTCAATACTAGACAGCCAATTAATGATTATTACTAATGTTGTGTGTCATGAACAGACTCTTGTCAGCAGCTGGCTTAGTAAGACTCATTAAGTTAGAAAAACTATCAATGTTATGATACTCCACTGCAGATACCGATATTTCTAAGCAAGTCTTAACTGGATTTAACTCCAGTCATCCAAGAAAATGTAATAATATAACAAAAATTTGAAGGCAATTTTCTAGAGTTCTGAAACAGTTTCAGTTTCTTTGGCACTTTGCTGATTATACACAACCCTTGCCCATAACTGAATGGTAGTTCAGTTGCCACTCTCACCAAATGGTAGTTATTTCCCACTATTTCCACATTTCAAACTAAGCAGGTGTCTGTCTCATTCCATGTCTTTACATCTAGGGGAGTGCCATTTTTTTTCTGTTCAGAAGAAAATAACATAAGTAATTCTAACTCTAGAAAAAGAAGGGCTAAAGCTAATGAAAAATAGACTAGTAGTCCTTTAAAATGTTTAAAAAAAAAGTTATCACATTCCTGGGACAATAATTACCTGATTTTTTTAATGGATAATATGTGAGGCCTATAATAATGCTAAAAAGTTAAATCAGCTTACCAATGGACACAGTTCTCGTCTCTTGAGCTACCTGTACTTCAATATTCTTGCTTACGTCCATCTTCTCACTTGGCACATCTGTGCCCTTTGCCAGCCCTTCAGCATCTTCCTTTTGAGGAGTTTCAGCAGGCAGTGCAGGTACATCTGAAGCAGCTGTTGATGCTGGAGTAGTAGATTTGGAGCCTGCTTGGCTAACATCAGAGAGCTCATCCTAAAATTGCAGGCCATCATTGACAGAATCAATACAAGTTACAAAATTACTAGCACTGTTAGGGATACAAATTAAAGGGCAAGTGCAGAGAAAAAAAAAAAAAAAAAGGGAAATGCAAAGAAACAGGAATGAAAGCTATACCTTAAGCTAGTACTGGCAACATCATTTTGAGATCACTGCTGTAGTGTCATGCCTGCTAAGGACGTTATGGCTACATAAAGCATTTATTTGAATTTGAGTGTTTTATCTCGGTTGATAAAGCGTGGTCAGAAATCGATGATGCTTGTCAGTTAAGATGCTACATTCAGATAGAAGGAGTAAGTTTCCTTTGCCTTCTCCAAGCATCTTCAGATACAATAGTACACTCACAGCCTTCCAAATTGCTCACCAACATAAAGATATAGGGAGGTTTATATACTGAGTGCTTGCTGCTATGGATGCCTCCCCACGTGCTGCACTGCTGCACCTAGCCCTGGCTCCCAGGTTCTCCACACACCACCTCCACTCTCCCCATTTTTCTCATTGCTGTTTTCTCACTGCCACCCTCTCATTGCTGGAGTGGAGACTAATTGGAAGAGTTAGAGGCAAGTTGAGACAACCCATATAACGGGCTAATTTAGGAAAGTTAGGTCATTCTCAGCTCTGGGGTATACCTACGCTATACTCCTGGTAGTAGGCGAAGGCTGCATCACAGTACTGAATCTATAGTAATCAAAGCTCTCCTTCTAGCACCACATTTATCAGCAGGCCTGATTATACTATCCAATTACACATCTAGGCACTAAAGAACAAGCGAACAGCTTTTGGGAACAGCCCTTAATCGAAGAGGGAGGAGGAAAAAAAGATGAACAAGACAACTACACCTTGCATTACACACATACTGAAAATCCAACCTAAATTGTTTCCTCCAGTAGTCATATTTTTGAAGGTTGCTCCTAAAACACAAGGCAGACAAAATAGGCACTCACTTTGAGACTGGTGTGAGAGCGCGGCTGGCTTAACTCTGGGAATTTCCAATGCTCCGATCCAGGCGTTTCCCCGGCTTCTCTCTGAGCTTCAGGTGTCAGCAGCGGATCTCCTGGAGGCAACGGGAAGATGCCCAGTGATATCGGACGCTCCTTTCTGCTTGAGAGAGAGACCAATATCATCAGCAGTTTCCTATGTCATACAATTTTAGGACATGCAGAACAAGAAATTGTCAGGAAAGTAGTATAATGGCACATTCAAGCATTTATGCATTACTTTTAAATATGCAATGCAGCATTACAGCCCATAATTTCTCATTTCACATGCTTTGATTAACTGCAAATCATTTGCTCTACAGTTTTAGGAAGCAGTTTTGATTAGACCTAAGCTAAATTCCCCTAGAAATGGGATACAAACAGAAGAGCAAAACGTTTCCTTACTTCAGACAAAACTAACACAATTTTTGGCCATCATGTGAGAAAATATATATACTTTCTTGTCAAACCACACAGTACCACACAACTTCTACAACAATTAACTACTAGACCATTAATTGAAGTATTTGAAAAAAAAAAGTCATAAACAATCAGCTTAAAGGCTATTCACCTCACTGTTTTAAATGCCTCTTTCTTTTAAAGGTCACGCAAATCCTATGTGTTTGTATAACTGCCGAAAACTGGGTCAAGTCATTACCCAAGCTAAAACCATCCCAATCAAAACTGCTTCATTTTAACAGATCAGTTCCTCGTTCCAGTTCACCCCAAGGTTGCACTAACATTTGTGTCTGCCACAGGGAGAGGGACTCCTAAGAAAAGAGCTACCAGTGACTGGAGACGGCTGCTGCTTTAGAGAGCAGCACTGGCTTAAGGTTACATGACCTCAGGCATCAGTGCTGCTTCGCCACGAGGACAGGCAGGGCCTTCTCCCCAACCCCTCACTATCTTTTGCTCTCTTCATCATTTTCCCATGGCAAACAGCATTTGGGAATTCTAAAGCTTCATTATTAATCCTCAAGAAACCTTACAAAGCCAGTCCCGTGCTCAGCAGTGAGACCAGCAAGTGAAGAAGATTAACTCCTCCTTATTGTGAGGAATAAAACCCCTGCTTGCAAGGCAAGGCACAGAACAAGGCAGCCAGAGCCAGCCTCCACAGGGAGGCCACCAACCCGCACGGAACCAGGCGCGAAGGATCCGTCCTGTCAGGACAATGCAAGCCAGAAGCAGTTTAGCAGAGTAAAGCAGGTAACAACGCAAAAAAGTCAGTGTGACAAAATTGGGAGCACCAGACAGTCAGATGTTGGAATAGTAACTTTGCTGAAAAAAGCTTGATAAAATAGAACCAAATAGGTTGATTCCAGCAGTTACATTACAAGCAGCACAGCTTTTCTTTAGATTGCCCACAACTCTGACCTCTAGCACATGTGAGGAACAAAAGACACACACTACTTCAGCTCAGATTATCCTAAGAAAAGGACTGAAACATCTCATTGGTCAAGAAGTCCAGCAACACACACACACACAAAAAAAGGAAGGAAAGAAAAAAGAAAGAAAGAAAAAAAGAAAAAAGAAGGCAAGTTGAAATCGTTTAGTGTAAAAGAAAGGTAGTTATAAAGCACGCATTGTGAAGGGTTACTAGCTCTCCTGAAGCAGAACACAGATTTGCTTACTTGCAGGATATGCCACAAAGCTTTCCTGCTTTCAGAAAAGAAAATTATATTTATATTGCCCCCCTCCCTACTATCCCCACAAAAGAGGGCCCACAAAGACTTGCTTTTTTGCAGAATAGTCTTAAGCAGACTTGAAAGTAGCCTTATTTTGATGCACTAAAATATGAGCTCAGGTGCATGTCAAGAATATCCCTGTAACCAAAGTTTGAAAGGGGGAATTATTTTGAAACTTAATGCCTATTATGTGCACATCTGCTGTAAGGGTACTTGCTAAATAAATAAAAGAGGGTTCAACTTATTTCACTGGTTATGGATTAGAGAGTGAGCAGCCCCTTATACTTCCCCGTTGTCAAAAAATACCTGAAAACACTTTGGTGAGCAGGAAGTAGGCAAATGTTCTAAAGGTTAAACTGATGTTCTAGAGAGAGGCACTGAAGCATTTGCAGGCCTCTTCAGGGTGAATACCAGATACTCTAACATCTGACTCAAGTTAAATGCAGTAAAAGCAGTGTGTTTTATCATTAGATTTCTTCATCATATATTTTTACTCTATTATATGAATACAGGGTATGAAATTAAGTTTCCTAATTATTATAATACCCCCAAAATTTACTGCTGGAAGAAGAACGGTTTCCAAACAACCAACACGGCAGAAACCTATACACCCCCAAACAAGAATTCCCACTGCCAAAGCCTGTTTACCACAGGTCCAAAAAAAACCCCCACATATTTCTTAAACTACCTGACAGGTTAAGTATAAGAGATCTATTTTTTTTTTTTAAGTATTTAAACATTTCAAATTTTGAAGTTTTGTTTTATTGTTGTATTTGTTATATATTGCTTATTTTTGTTGTTATATTGTTAGATTATTTTCATTGTTGTTTTATTTTGGTGGGGGGGGGGGAAGAGAAACCTAGAGAGTCTCTAGAGAGTTCATTTTTTATCTGCTTAACTGTACTTAACATGTGTGCACGTGAGTGTGCATATATGCTCAGAGACCCAAGTCAAAACGCCCACTAACAAAAAACCCTAAATATTAGCCATATATTGGAGTCAGAAAAAGCCACAGAGCTCTTTTAGAGGACAAATTATTTCCAGCATTTTTAACTCCGCAAATAAAGTTTGTTAGTAAATTTACAACCGCAGTTAAGGTGTATCAATTTTTAGGTCAGAAAGCTACATTTAAAAACTTTTCCAATTGTTTTCTATTTGTAATTACAATACTATAATGTGTGTGGAGATTACTTTCAGTAACAATACTGTAATAAATATCTGCTACTGCTCCAGGCAAGTAGGACAAACAGAACCTAACTTGAGGGAGGACAGAGTTGGCAGCTTGCCATACAAGTACAGCAAGCAAGGAGAGGATAACATTTGCCTGAACAATAGTGAATAAGCTTTAAGAGCTCTAATATTCAAATAATGAAAGATCTTTTTTCCCCCACAAGTAGCCAGAATTTTTTAAAACGCACTAGATTAATTAATGTATTTGTGCAGATAATCAATTAGATGATCCCATATAATTCTCTCTCTCAAAAAATGAATCAAATATCTAAGTGCAGGACTTCTACCTGCATCCATCTATAGCTACACGATCAGCCAAGTACCTGACAACACATTGAACAAGAGCTTTATCCGCTATGTTTAACATTACAGCTTTCTCCACAGGTTACTATAAGATGAATAATTTCCAAAAGAAATACAAAAACTGACCTTGTATTTGCTCAAACAAAAGGCAAGAAAATTCCAGCGTATAAGAAAATCGCTGCAGCCCAATCTGTGAATACTAACTTTACAGAATGGAATTTATATTTAATTGACATCTCCGATTTATCCTCGCTGTTCCCATTTTAAAAGAAAGCGGAAAGCAGGGGCAGCGAGCGAGCGCCAGGCTACGGTCGGGCAGCTCCGCGTACCTGAGTATCCTCGGCAGGTTCTGCGTCAGCGCGGGCACGCCAGTAGAAATGGAAAAGTGCACAAGCAGCAGAACGGAGAGGGACACGAGGATGGCCGAATTAATGACCACCGCCCCGCCAACGAAGCCAAACACAAATAGCAGCATGCATCCGGGATTCATGGCGCTGCGCTGGCATGGTGAAACGCCGCAAGCGAGAAGGCTACGCAGGGGCCGAGGGGGGATCTTTGTAGGCAAAGTCTGTCATTCAGGCGCTGCCACAAAAGCAATGCCATCAGCAGCAGCTTTGCACTCCTCTGCAGCAGCTCAAAGCAATGACATCACCTCCCTCCTCCCCCTGCGCGCCGGGGCCTCGCGGCGGCAACGCAGCGACGCAGGCGGCGCGGGAGCTGCTCTCTCCCCCTTGCACACGGGTTTCATCGGCTACAAAGAGCCAAAATCTGCATAACGGTTTTCCCCAGGGTGCTCGGAACAAGACACAAGGGTATCGGAACAAGACACAAGGAGATCGGGCTACGCATCTTCACGGAGCTGCGCACAAAGCAACGGGAAGGGAGCAAGCGCTTGGGGAGAACCACGGGCATTTTCACTGCCTACCTGAATGAGAACGCTCTTAAAAAAAAACAAAAACCACCACGCACAAATTGTTTAAGGCTGATGTGCAAAATATATCTCTACATCTAGCAGCACAACAGCAAAAGCTTTTTTCTATTTCTTTCTACACTGTTCTCTTCCTGCATTCCAATCATACAACAAATCTTTCCGATTCAGCCAAACCGTTGTTGTAGGATTAAAGAACAAAGTCTTGCAAACACAAATGAAGGGATTTTTTCTTTCATTTGGGGCGAGCGTAACAAAGCTTACCTAATTCTGCTGTGGGTCGTGGACTCTAGCTGATCACCCCCTGTTAGCTGGTGAAGTTTGGTTCTTTCCAAGTGCTCCATATAATTGTGAATCATCTGGTTAAAGTGATAAAGAAACAGTAAAAAATATTTAATGCCATTTACTTTTATTGCAGTTGCATAATTCTTGGCCAGTATGCTAGACTCTTCCACTATAAAGTTAAAAATATTAAAAGCATTCAGAAGCATAAATTAATGAATAAAGAGAGCAGCTAGATTATACAGTACTGAATACCACAAACCAGAACAGAAGCCCATAAAAAAAAGGAGAACTTTTGTGCATTCATGCACAGGAAGCATCCCAATAGCACACAGTGCACATGGCATTGTGAGCAACAGCTTTGAATGCCTCTAAGTGAGGACTACAAAGGCCAGCAATAACATTATATATGGTAAACTGAAGAATAGATAGGGAGGGAAAAAAAGTGACCAAGCAAGACTAAGGCACAAGCAGCATCTTCAGCCTTAATCAAGTCTTGAACTTCTAACATTGGGGTTGACATTTATCAAATTCCCATTTGAAAATAAATTAAATTCGAAGCCATTTAACTGCTAGCCTGGGTAGCCCTGCCACCAGCCTACATTAATAACCCATACTACTAGGTGTACTACTAGGTCAGGCCCTCTCCATTCACAATCTAAACCCACCTTCCCCACTTCACAGTAAAGTTCACTTATCTACAAGAACAAGGAATAAAATAAAGCTCGAACAAGGCAACAGATGCCAGCGTTTCACCTGAAAGGCCACACTTGGTTCATCATCTTTAAAACATATTACAAGAATGTCAAATGTTGGCAGTCTACAGTTCAAGAGTCATTTTAGGCAGTTATACAGCTTGCCACAATAGGGTCTTTCACTGAGTCAACTGCATGACCACAACAACTAAGATTAGGTCAGTTCAGACCATTCCTGCTTTCTGGAAAAGAAACACAATTGAAAAAGCTTTAAAGATTACATCATTTTTAGACTGTATTTTACAGTACTAAGAATATTTTACATTACTTTTTGACATCAGAATCCCCCAAACGACAAAGATTGCTTGGCTTTCTTCCTTAAGAAAAAGTGTGCTGTGTGTCAGAATTGGAAATAGGCTTAAAGAACATCCTTACACATACAACCTGCAGAAATGACATAAGCCATTCCGGCAGAATGCTCTCCAAGTGTACATGGTTTTAGCATTTAACTTTATTTCTAGCAGCAAATCCAATCAGATAACAAGACCCAACAACTAATTTGGACATCAGCTGAGTTTATTTGGTCTGCTATTTATGTGACCATTTATCCATGATTTAGCACCAGCTTAGAAAAGGTCACAGACACATACAGCCTTCATTTCTCATCTCTGCAATTTTGCAAACGGAGATTCTCTCCTCAAAGACAGTTGTTCAAACTGCTCTCCTGACACAGCAGTCAACCTATCGGTTGCATCGCTAGTTTACTAGTGATGTTATTTCTGATGGTGGCAGAAACTTCCTATCAGCTAAATAGTCTGATAGCTTTACAGGAGGAAAACAAAGACTGTTAGACCTTGCTTAGTCAGGAATTAAAATTCCTCTAGAGAAGCAGGACAGAAAAACAAAGCATAGACGTACCTTTTCTACAAAAGGGTTTTATATAATTAAGAGGGTGTTTTGTAAAGTGCACACACCCTGCTCTCATTCTTCAGCTGTAAAATCACTCAGGAAGAGTAGCAGCACTAAGCTAGCTATGCATTATTGATCAGGTAGATTATACTAAAAATAGCACATTCCTAGATTTATTTTCAGATCCATATTGGAGACTAAGATATTTAATAATGTCTAGCAGCTATTAACAAGCTGAAATGATATGCACCTCAAGTATTAAACACAAATATCAACGTCAGCATCCCTCCTTCCAGCATTCAGATGAATTTAACCTCACTAACACAAAACCTTGGTTTCAAATTATATACATCTGCCTTCCCAAAAAAAGATAGCACGCCTGGGGACTTTTAGCACTCGGAAAAGCTCTTCTTGCTTGCTCTTTTTGTTAAAAAGAGACAACTGTGGGCAGACATACCGACTCCTGCAGTCAAGCACTTATTTAACGAGCCCCGATTCTAATCAACCTAAGGATCATGCTACTCAGTTGGAAACTGAGCCGAGAGGTGCATGGAGAGAATACCAGGTATCACTACCCCATTCCTGAAGGTTAAAGTTGGACAACATGTACCTTTGAAACGAAAACTAGAAATCCCTGAAGGGAAGCCCATGGGCCGTTTGGATTTCTGCAGTCATGTGCAGAATGAATAGGGCACTCGGATCAAAAAGCAAATAAAACAGTCCTAAGTGTTCAGCACAAGAACTGAGTGCAAGGGTTTCCTAAGGCATAACCAGGTCATAGCTCAAAGTCTTTTTTTCCAGAAAAAAAAAATACCTATTCTCTAAAACTAGCTTCTTCTATTAGCCTAAAAAGGACATACCCACACTTACAGGCTCCCTATATGAAAACTTCTGTACAAATAATGTTTCATGTCTTCCCTCTGCATAAGGGTGTTTGTCATTTATCCTCAGTAGAACTGAATTCAGCAAAAGCTGAAAGGAAGCAGAGGATGTAGGTTCCCAAGGCGGACCTGATGTGTCCAGTGCCACTAAGCTTGGGCTTCAGATGTTCCCAGCTTCAGTTAAAATCTGTTTCTTTGAGAACACTGGTCAGCACCACTAACTTCATATTCTCAATCAAAGGTTTGTTTTGTTTTCCTCTCAGAGGAAACTGAGGCTTAAGATACCCTGAATAATATATGATATATAATTATTTATAAATAAATACTCGGTTACGAACAAATCTGGCATTTCCCTGTATTATGCTGAACTAATTAATTGCAACTCTGAGCAGGAAAAAAAAAAATCTTCCTATTTTTAGAAGAACATTATATAATCTACTTTAACCGCTGTCAAAAGCTTACAAAATTTATCCTGTAACATAATGACATGAACACAGAGTCTCCTATGACCACTGTATTTGCTTCCTGAACCTTTCTTTAAAGGCTTGCTCATGTGCCAAAGCTATAGGAAGAACCCAAAGCTCCACCTTCCCCTACCCACATTTCTTGTTTTTCTGGTTCCACTCAAACAATCAAAATTAGGAGCTCTGATGGTGTCTGCATGTAGTTTTACACCGCAACAAGTTTATTATAATCCAGATAAAACTTGTTTTTGCTGAATGTATAACTTAGAAATGCATATTAGACACTGCACTTTGTTGATACAGGGAGGTATTATTGAATAAAAGCTGATTTATCTTCAAAAACTTTGCAGTATAGTTAATAGTTTCTCTAAAACTCTAAAACTGTTAAACAAAGCCTGTAAGTTCCTTTTAGCGAGTGGACAGAAACAGGCTTCTTATTCTCATCTTTATGGGAGAAAAAAAAAAATAATACATGGAAAGTAACAGGGGTTAATAAAACCTGCCCATCTTCCAGCTTTTGCAAAGAGCACGTTTAACCTACATTCTTCTGTCTCTCTTCAATCTATTCTTTTGTTTGTTTGTTTACTGAAATGTCTCATCATATTTATTACTGGCAGAGGCTGGAGGGCAGGTCAATTTAAAGGCCTAAGTATAGCACAGCTCTGCAGTTGAAGACAAAACTGATGGCAAAATAAGCAGAAGTGCACGTTTCCATACTTCAGCAGACAGGGTGTTAGCTATAGTTATTGCTGTAGGTTCATTGTTCAATTACTTTTAATGAGGGGAATTTGAGTTAATTCAGATGGAAGGGAAAAGTGTCACCTTACATAGTTAACAGCTTTTTCAAAATTTATGTTTTAGCTCATCATTTTACAGTACAATACACCCAACCCGACTAGAATGAGTTTTTCAGAACATTATAGCATGAATATGAAAGCCTTTCTCCTCAAAGGCAAGTTCCTCATACAGCTTTTGAGAAATTCCAAAGCTTTAGAAATCTATTTTTGTTGTTAAGCTTCAGGATTCAAGACACACCTCCTGTCACCAGTTTCTATTCCCGCCATATGAATGTAATCACTCCCAATGGACATAAACCTGAGACCATTTCTTTATAAAAAACAAAGTACATCTTATGCTTTGGCTTTATCTGCATTTTTTTCCTTAACCAGGCTGAGAGCATCTCATTTCTACCTCCCTTTATCTTTTACTCCTCCTCCTTTTTTGTGCCATTGCTTTCAAATCTCTCAGGACAGAGCTTAATAGCTCTTTCACTGCTAGAGCAGGCTCTGGCTTCAGCACTCCCTGTTCACCCTGCAGATCCAATCAGGTTTGGCACAAGCAGTTCCTCCTTGGGGAGAGGTAGAACCAACTCAGTATATATAGATCTTCCTCTGTCCCACATAATATAGATTTAATAACGTAACAGACATTTTTAGAATCTCCTTGATTCAGTAGCGGAGTCCTAAGCACTTCCATGTAACTGTCCAGCATCTTTAAGGCTTTCTGGTGAGCTTGTCACTTAAGTAAAAGCATCACTCCCACTGAGCTTGAGGCATCTTTATCCAAATATAAGATGACATTGCTGCCAGATACATTAATGTAAAAGGAGTCCAAATCTATGCTTTATATACCAGCTTCTTACACTTAAAATAAACAGTTAGGAAAACTCTTTGTTCAAGCAAATACCTAAAAGTCTAATCTTAAAGACACTAGGACTGGTACCCACACTCTGGAAAAATTATAATTAGACATCTCCACTTAATCTTCTCTTCCTGTTTCCCAATACTGGGACTTGCTCCAGCATATCCCCTGGGCCTGGATATTTGTTTATCCAAATCAACATGACAAAGTACATTCCCAATGTGAGAGACCATCTCACTGTTCTGTCACATTGTATCAGAGCAAAAGAGTGAGAAACTTGCATGGCCCAATTATGCTTCATTAAGCTAAGCCCTTACTGTGCATGTCAGGCAAAGAGATATCGACCCATATCTTAGCTGTACATTTCCCAAAGGATAAAAAAAAAAAAAAAAAGGCGGGGAAAAAAAAGAGGTTTTCTTTGGAAAGTCTGTGTACTAAGGTGCTACACAAGTTAGGCAACTGCCAAGGAAAGGTCCAAGCGCTGCTTTTCCTCTGCTTCCCAGCTGAAAGATATTGTCTTCAGTCAAGCTTCAAACAAGCTAGTGCCATACTTACAAAAGGTGTCCTACTAACTATGCAGCAAACGAAAATATGACCCTTTACTTCCTACTCATGTGGCTTGCTCTGAAAGGATCCCTAGCCGCAACCTGTCATCATCTCTTCAGAAGTAAAGGCAAAGAAGAGCCAACAGGTATATGCAAAAAAAATGGCTCTAGTAACTGTTGCCTTTATGCAGCCAATATGTGGAACAACTGATGTTCAACTATACAAAATAGTATTTGAGATATACTATAGCCTAACAACGTGGATTTTTTTTAAACTCTATACAACAGAGGACGAAACCCGTACAGGATAGACCACTGCCAACCCTTCAGCCTTCCAGCGAGCTATCTTCAGGCCGTGTGGTCATTCACTGCATATGGTCATTCACAGCTACAGGAAAAGAGCAACAGCCGTTGGCACAGTCATCATTCGAGATGTCACCATGCACTCCAGGAGCTCTCCAGCACACTGTTTTACTACTCATCTGTGCAGTTCTGCTCTAAGTAGTACAAGCAGGAAAGACCAGACCAAAACACACTGTAAGCAGAGGAAGGAATGGAGCACATTAACTAAGCAGGGAATCACAACACAGACATAAGCTCATGGTCCAGGTGTATTCACACATCTTGCTCTGACTGAAGTTACCCTCCCAGCTGCCTATGACAGAGCCCTAGCTCCCCTCCACCTCCCCGGCTGCCAGCTCCACTGCTCAGGTAATCCCACCTTTCCCCACTACAAATTAAGCCAGTTAGCTCAGGCACAGGCTTATTGGTGGGGAGGAAGCTAAGGAATTTATCAAACTCATTAGCTCATCTCCCACTCAGGGCAAAACAGCAAAGAAGGGGAAGATGGAGGCTTAGCTTATTGGGAAGAAGGCGACTAAGGGCTCTCGGTTAAGGAATTTATTCCACTCAAACCTATCAGCTCATCTCCCACTCGATGCAAAACAGCAAAGAAGGGGAAGATGGAGGCTTAGCTTATTGGGAAGAAGGCGACTAAGGGCTCTCGGCAGAGCTCTAGCAAGTCCGTGTGGTGCTGCTGGCTGCAGCTAAGAGCACCTTGTTCCTAGGGCAGGCTGGGGCCCTGGAGCCACAGCACAGAACTGCCTCGGGCAGGCTGAGCTCCACAGAACATAAGCTCATGGTCCAGGTGTATTCACACATCTTGCTCTGACTGAAGTTACCCTCCCAGCTGCCTATGACAGAGCCCTAGCTCCCCTCCAGCTCCCAGGCTGCCAGCTCTACTGCTCAGATAATCCCACCTTTCCCCACTACAAACTAAGCCAGTTAGCTCAGGCACAGGCTTATTGGTGGGGAGGAAGCTAAGGAATTTATCAAACTCATTAGCTCATCTCCCACTCAGGGCAAAACAGCAAAGAAGGGGAAGATGGAGGCTTAGCTTATTGGGAAGAAGGCGACTAAGGGCTCTCGGCAGAGCTCTAGCAAGTCCGTGTGGTGCTGCTGGCTGCAGCTAAGAGCACCTTGTTCCTAGGGCAGGCTGGGGCCCTGGAGCCACAGCACAGAACTGCCTCGGGCAGGCTGAGCTCCAAGGAGCTCTCCTAGCACTCAGCACAAAGCCTGTGCGGCCCAGGGCATCACTTCTCCAGTTCACATCGGTTTGAACTACCCACTGCTCAATCAGCTGAGGGAAGCCTTGGTCCATCTTGACTGAAATGCTTCAGATGCAACTCCCACGAGCAGTAAACTAGCAGGGAAGCGACCTCCAGCCAAAAGGTGAGCACAAGCAAGGGAGGCTGGGGACCTCTTCAGCCAGCCTCGCTACAGTGGAAAGAGGACATGCTTACCAACCCCTAGGGAGGTCCCAGAAAGCCCTTCAGGCCTGAAATACTGAGGTGTGAGATAAAAGGTGGAGGGAGAGAAAATAAGGGGAGCAAGCAGCAGCAAGCAGAATGGAGAAACCTGACTATTAAAGACCACAAGTCATCATATAGTTAATGGGACACCTGTCACAGCAATCACCGCTAACAGCTAAAGGAGCTAAAAATCCTCCTAATGCTCCATGCTTGCTTTGGTCAATTGAAAGAAAAACAGTTGTCATTACAGTAAGCACCAAAAACAGATTATTTGCAAAGACAGCAGTGAAGCCGATTAAGAAGGAAAACATATTCCTTTATTGAAAAGCACAAAAGAAAGGCGTCAGAAACTAGCATTGAGACACATATTTAATCCAAAACACTTGATAATTTAATACTTAAAATAAGCCGAATGGTATGTACACAAATTATCACCTAAAGCCAGGTTTCAAACCTATATAGGCAAAAGCAGAAATATTCTGAAGATATTTGTTTTTAAAAAACTATATGCAACATGAGGCTGTCTCACGCCGATTCACTCAAGTCTTTCATTTAGACAGAGGTTGGCTCAACGAAGGGCAAGAGACGCAATATTAAAAGGAAAAAAACGAAAATGCTGAGACTGGAGAAAATGAATCAAAATGAAGTGCTGAAAGGAAGGAGCAAAGGGAAACGCAAGGTCTCATTTCAGAAGCATAGGAGGAAGGAATATATCTCTTCACAACTTGTTCCTTTCTAAGAAGGACATAGTCACCTCGGTGATAATAAGGGCCAAGGAGACACCTCTCCCTACACCCAAGCAAGTGAATATAAGCTGTAAGAGCATTTAATAAGTTTGAATCAAACCAGCAGAGGCTGTTGTCCGTTTTGGAGCAAAACCTATATGAAGAGATATTCAGAACATTTCATTAGCATTTCATGGAATTAATGGTTCCAAACATATTTAGTCAAGTTGAACTCTGCAGAGCACAATTCAATGAAAACTTGTGTTGCTTCCATCATGCTAGTGCTCATAGCTTCCAACTACAAGAACAAAACAACTTTGCAAGAACACAGTATCATTAAGATCTGAAATACCTCCAGTTGAGCAGGGAGTAAAGGTTACACCATTTTCAAGAAATAAAATGTGTTGTAAATTAAACTATCAGCATCAAGATTTGGCAGTTATTTTACTCAAAAGCTTCCACTTTACAGCAAATATAACATTCTAAAGTAACTCTTTAAACCTTCATCTAAAAGCATTAGGGTTTCTATGAGCATAAGGTGGATTCAAACTTAAAAAAAATAAAAAAGGGACTGTTTTCTTAAAGATCTGCATAAGTCTCGTCATGCGGGACTATGCTCGTTGTGATTCTCAGCCCCTTTCAGTTGCTGTCAGTATGACGACATTTCATACACCTAAACCATACTCTTAGGGTTGCTAGGGAAGTAGTAAGGGTGACCAAATCCACTTCTGCATTTCCCTTTCCTCTCCATACCTCCCAAGTCCCTTTCTGCTCTAGGAGAATCTCAAGTATAGCTGATATTTAAGTTGTTCAGTTTAGCATTTTAGTTTAATGAGGACAAAGCCAAACTTGTCCCATCTTCCCTAGTGAGTACTGCAAAAACAACAGGCAATAAGCACAGTAGGAACTTTTTTGATCATGACTCTTAACAGGCTAGTTTTTGAAAATGTATGTTTTCAAGCTTACAAGCAATACTGACACTGAGGGAAAACTTCTGAAAAAGTAACAAGATTAAGACTTCAGAGAAGTTCAGTTTGCTTTGAAGAAGCAAATTCCTATTCTTTGAAAGTGCTTGAATATCTGAGGAATAGCTACGCCTTTTACAAAAGTGTGTTCAAACCTACTAACACAAAAATACCCGCTTAGATGTGAGAGAGATGAAAGCTGCATATCAAATGAAGCCTAGTTACAATCAACATCAGCAAAGAAAATACCCAGTTATCAGTGTGTAAATATCCAGTCACTTCCTCAATTTGTCATAACAGAAGTTCCCCGTAGATACAGATTTTCAGAGGTACTCTCAGTTCATCTTGACATAACCTACCTCTGTATGTCTTGAATGAAGTGCATTGTATTCTTTCTTGAGTTCTGACTCCCTCTCCTCGAGTCTGCTAACTGGAAGGGAAAGAAGACAAATATAAAATTAAATTCAGTTTTGTTAAAATGGGACTTTGACTTGCCCAACACAAGGCAACCAGACCAGGATTGAAAATACAAGTTGTCCTCATAAAAAGCCAGAACCCTTTCCCCAGCTGATTGCTAACCCCATGACTGGACTTCCATCCAGATCTTTTCACACATCCAGATGGGCACATGTAGAATGTTAGGAGAGGCAGAAGCCATATCACACAGCTGGACTTGATGAGAGCTGTGAGCCCCAGGTAAAGCCTTGGGTGGATTTCCTAAGGCTCAGCCACATTCCAGCCTCCAGATGTGCTTGACTGGAAGAAATATAAAGAAGGTATGATAGATAATTTCAAGTCAGATATTGTGGCCCCTAAGACTCTTATGTTGGCATTCACTCATACTCCACTGAGTGCTGAAGTAATAGACTCAGTGAAAGAACACTCCTGACAAAAAAAAAAAAAAAAAAAAAAAAAAAAAAAAAAAAAAAAAATTCCAAAAAATTTAAAAAAAAAACACAAGCCACACGTATCAAGTTCCCTAACTGAGGCTTCTTATTCCACTTGCCCTCCCTGTACCCTCTACTCTCCAGAAACTTAAGATTTGGATAAAACCTTCAAAAAAATCATTGCTAGACACCCATTATCTGAAGATAAATTTTAGCATTTTCTTTGCTATTTGCACATTTTGCCAACTGGCTCCTTGAAAAACGATTTCTCAATATACATTTTTTTTGTTTCATATTTCTACACTGTGGCACCATATCTTATTGCAGGTACATTTCAGTCAAAAATATTTGCCAGACTCAAATGCCAGAACCAAAATGCACAGCCTAACTATCTCATCACTCAAATTTGTGCAACCATTCCTAGCTCCTCATCTGGTTTGGATCCTATAAGGACACTAAATTCTTTGACACAACCTTTTGCATTCTACCTATAAATATCTCACTTGAAGTATCAAATCAAACCTCATCAACTAATGCCAGACTGAATGCTTTCATTCCTTCATCACTACCTAATTGGACAAAAGCTTTTCAAGGCAAATAATGAAAATTGATATAGAAATATTTACGGCACTATATATATAAGCATGTATTTCACAGCCCAGCATATAAAAATGTATGTTAAGATGTAGCAGAGTCCAAAAAAAATTGTCTATTGAATAGAAGAATCTGGTTTATTATTTTCAGGCAACATTGAACACTGGAACAGGTTACTCAAATGGCCATCCTTGGAGCTGCTTAAAACTCAGACTTAAAACTGAATGTGGTCCTGGGCAACCTGCTCTAGCTGAGCCCGCTCTGAGCAAGGGATTGGACTAGGTTCCTTACAAGCTCAACCACTTCGTCATCCTGTGAACACACATCTAAAGAAAATAAAAGGAGGCCTTTAGGAACTGCCTACAGAAACAAGGGGCAGAATTTATAGTTAACATTTGATATGAGCACCAACGTTGATTCATTCCCTTAGACTGACCAAGTAGCTCATAATAAAACAAGTTAGCATTCAAGTCAGCTGCCTGGGCAAGATGAGGAGACAGGAATAATTGTGTTTTACAATGGTTTGCCAGAGACAGGCTAGCAATAACCTCCAGTAACTAGAGGACAGAGCACAGCTCCTTACTCCCAGCAACCAGAGCATGCACCTGTAAATCCACCAGCCCTGGGGTCTCCATGGATGCTCCTAAGGTCTCTCCCTTCCAGGCCAAAGCTCTGGTAACTTTTCAGCTATGCAAAACCTACTTCAGGGCCAGCAAGTAGCCTAGAAACCAGCAAGTATGAACTGCATTACTAATTGCCTTCACGTTTTGTGAAGCCTGCTCCCTTCCTTGGAGACAGTTTCCAAGTACCCAGAAATAGGCGATCCAGACTTGCTACAGCTCCGTGATGACTAACGCTGCCTTGATTTGAAATTCTGCTTCTTAACATTGGCAAGAGCCACAGCAGAGCACAGTCTTGTCTGGAGACTAGCGAACAATGGTGAAACACCCTGAGGTTGTCTGATATATTCGTGTCTGGACACAGGCACCGACACTGGCTTCTCGAGACTAATTCTATCTGATGGATTCTCGGAAAATGACTTGAAGATGAACCCTGCAATATCTTTACAAATAGCCGTCCTTCTCCGCACTGTTGGTAACCTACCTACCTTAATGAACTCCACAGAACTGTGTCCCCTTGTCATCTATACACTGAACACATGCACAACGGTTGAGGTTCCACAGTGAAGCAAGTTATTTTCCTCTTTCTATGGCCCAAGTTTAAATACTTCCTCAAAGAAAGCCATAGACCACAGTGGGACAGAGATGCAGGTACCACAGAGTCGAGAAAGAGATCCTTCTTAATTGCAATCTTAAAATAATTATTTTTGTTAAATATGAAGTTCTTGCAAGAAAGATGAAGGCAAGTCAGTCAGAATTCCCCTCTGGTCAAGAACTCCAAAAATACCAGCCTTTTCCATCCATCTACTCTTCTCTCTGCCTAACTCAGAGGTCTCCTCAGTACTTCTTGCTTCACTAAAGAAGTAATATTCACATTGCAACTCTATAGGCAAACCTGTAACCTGACAAAATAAGCCAGCCAACAGAACACACTTCTCTTTTCCATTAAACACTGTAGAAGAAAAATCAGATATTCCCTGAGGGCTACACATCACCAAGATGTGAATAGAAAAGATATCTGAACCTAATGAAGAATTTTGAAGACCACCATCAGATTCTGGCCCAAAATCTTACAGAAATTTAAGTTACTATTAAGCATGCACCAGCATGCATCAGTAGCAACGGGAAACCAGAAACAATAAAACAGAAGTAAGCTCAGAAATCAAACTGTCATCTCAGCTTCTTTTTATTTCACTTGCACACAAGAGTAGAAACTTGGAACTATTCTGATAGCGCCCACCCCAAGAAAAACAGAGCTGGATGTTGGCAGTGGCTAACACACACCAGCCTGCAAAGGGGCAAATCAAACAAAGTTTCTAGCACAGGAATCAGTCTCAAAATCAAAGTGTCATACGAGCTTTTTACATTGTTTCTTTTAATATTTCACCTGGCAATTCATTTATTAAACCTAACAACTCCTTAAAAGGCAAATGAGAAAGGTAGCTTGAAGATATA